GTAGTGCAAGTTTTATGGAGGAAAATGAGAATCAAGGTGTAATTACTCATTTTCCACATTCAGTACATTTTTAACTGATATTTTACGACCCATATAACCCATTACGCTGCATTGACAACACCGCCATTGTCCGCTTTAAATGGTTCTCTGCTTAAATAGGGCTTATAATACCCCTTGGAGAATAGTTTATTGTTGTCATTATACAATGTTGTACCTAGCCATCTAGGATATCCGTAAAAGTCAAGCACGAAACTAAAATTTAACACAAAATTTATGTGACTACAGTTTTTGTTACTTTTTAGTACCTGTTTATAGGACTTTAGAAAGAAATAACCCACAGCACTATTTTTAAAGATACGCGATACGAGTAAATACCCTTTTTCAATAAACAAATTTGTATTTTTTTAAATTAGGAAAGTTAAAGAAAAGGAAAATGAAACAATTCCAAGTGAAATATGAAAACCAAAAGATCTCTTTGTAGCAGCTGTTTTTTACGTTATCAAACTTTGTGAATGCAGCAATATAAGATGTTTCTTTGAATGATTGCATTACTTGAGAATGTAAACATATCGTAAACATAGCATATTTATTTTTATTTCATTTATTTGAAACAGTTTTAAAGATATTGATTCGAAATTTGATGTTTTTTTTTATTTCAAAAACGGTGTCATTATTTTTATTAAAAAAAGTTGTGGCATTCTCGCACGAACGCCACTGGTGCAAGTAGAAATATTCGGATCACCCCAAAAAATGCATATTTTCAATTTTCGAGTCAATATCTTTAAAACTCTTTGAAATAATAAATATAAATAATTTAAAAATAAATTTTAAATACTCTGTCTCTGTATCTCGGAAAGGAAGCATCTTTCGACCTAACTTTTTTTCACAAAATAACTTCGGCAACCACCCCCTAACATATTTCGCAGTTATTTACAAACACCCTGTATATATTTTCTTCATTTACCTACGTATACGTTATTACCGGTATAAAATAAGCAACTTATGTCATTTTTCAACTGTAAATCCTTTATAACGACCCCTTCACGTGTGATCACGCCTATGAATAAAGCAAGGTGATAATAGTCGCAATAACCTAACCTAACCTAACCTACAATAAAATTATATATTTAGACACATGCACAAAAGTATTTATAACAGATTTTGAAAAATTTACATGAACAATCGTCTCATTCAATAAATCACCATGAAACTTATATACCAACTTTATACTGGTAGTATTTGGTACAAACTTAATTGCTATGTAGATGGTTCTTGATGGTTCTGGTTTTGGTTATCCAATTTTTGCTACTTTCCCCCAATATCACGCGGACATTGTGTCAGCACGAACTTAAGCCATGATAAAATATATATCTTCAAGTGGCCTACTTTTAACATAGAATTAATCAAAATCTGAATATTAATATGAATTAAATTATAAATACAAGGAAAATCAAATTAAAAAGTCACATATCAAAAACTTGGACAGCCTGACTAAATGTTTTAATTTTCACTGATTTGATTAAATCAACAGTATAACCACTAGAAACGAGAACAGAAGGCAGTTTTTTTAGTGCTCGTATAATTATTAAAATTTAAATGTTAGTTTTTCAAATGTAATTTTTTTGCGGGTGCAGATAAATAAATGAACACTGTCAAAGGCATATACCATATAGAGCCACCTCATTACAAAAGTTTGACTACACTAAAACAAGAAAGAAGTTAACAAAGTGAACTTATTTTCCATCACACAAACGAAACAAAGGCAGGCGAACCTTCAAAGATAAATCCGCTTTTTATGTTAAACAACTAGGTACCGAATAACATTCGGGCCAGTCAGAAACAGATTTGTATATTCCTTCGCGCATTTTTTCATATTTCCCATTTAGCAAAAAAGCTTTGCCTTTCTTAAATAAAGAATTACCACTTCGCCGGAACATAAAGAGCTGAACTTTCAGGAGATTTTAATATTAGAGTTCGCTCCAGTTGGGGAGCGCGGGGCGATGTTGATGTATATTTCTTTATTTCAAGATTGAAGTGTCCCTCAATAGTAACGACTGTACCTAAGGGAGGAGGGAAGGGCACACCCGAGACGTCAGCCCATGCACGTTGTGAGAACTTTTAAATTTAGACAGTTTGTTCTCCCCCGAGCTACACCGACAACTTGAGATGCTAGTCCTAAGCGGGAACTTACAACCTGTCTTAATTCCGTTGACTTTTTGTTTTCCTTTGAATGTTTGACTTAACGGGAAATGCCTCGCTATTCACCCGTAGCGAATCATCTTAACAGAACGGGTTTTTAAAAGTCGAAACAAATGTAGCGGAGAAGCGGCTTCTTGCCTTCGATTTTAAAGAGCTCCTGTTTGCTACATATTTAACTATTCTTCCTCTCCAATATAGAAAATAACGTATTTCCTAATGATATCGTCAGAAATGTACTACTCTGCGGACTACATGCTCCGACCATTGAATTACACTCGTAATATCTAGCAAACGGTTAAGGTCATTCGTCAGCAGAATAACCAGACATTGATAGATTTCGATCATATTAGTTTTCATCAGCATGCCCTAGATGAGACAAACAACGAATTGTTTAATCTGTTTCAATCCGGCCTATGTCTGGTGATTCTATTGACAAATGAATATAGCTGTTTAATAGATATTGCGGGGTAATTCAATGCCGAACAGGGTATGTAGCACGCTGAGTAGTTGTTTGCCACAGTACAATTATTTAAAAAGTTTTTTTCGTCTGATATAGCCATATTGTCATAGTACTTATAGATTAATAGGTCCCTCTGCTAGTGAATAAAATAGCTTCATGATCTCCAATTATATTGACCAATGTATAGAAGTTAGCAAATTTACCACAATTTGGCCAATCTTCTGATAGATTTATTTTGGGTCAAAAATTAATATACATAGTGATAATAGTAATTAAAAAGCATAAAAAATGGTATAAAATTGTAATTAAAATGTTTTATAGTTAAATCTGATTGTTTATAATGATCAAAATATTTTTAAAACCATATACACGTTTTTTACGATACGGTCATTAAAAAGCCAACAACTCCACTATTTTTTAAAAGGTCTCCTAAATATTAACGTTCAATAATGAAAATGTATTGTTTTCTATAGGGTCAATGTGGCCATTACAGCAGAAATAAAAAGATTTTATGGGAGTTCGTAGAATAAAACAAAACCATTGCCGATAAAAATAGTTGCATTCGTCGAACAGAAGTGTTTGTAACAGAACTTGGCGTTAATGGGGCGCTAATATTTTCGTGACTGAAACGCTCGCTTACTTTACAAAATGGTGTTTCACATAATAAATAAAATAAATAAATAAATGCCCCTGATGATGTTAAACAAATGACAAATGTGGAAATTTTACAATTTTAGAAATAGATATCAATCAAATTGAAAACAACTGTTTTATTTCCTTTTGTCTGTATAAAACTACTACAAAACTTATAACAGGATTATAAAATATAAAATGTATAAAAAAAGAATTCACTTAATATACAACTCTAATAACAGTAATAATAGTAAAAATAATAAAAATTCTGTTTCGACAATATTGAATAGAATAGAATAGAATAGAATTTTATTGACTCTTTTGTATACATGACGTACATTTATAGTCTAGTCTGAGGTAAATAAGTGTTAGTACAGTATTCAACAAATTCATCAATACTGTAGAAACAATGCAGCAACAGAAAGGATTTGATAAATCTACGAAAAGCTTCATTTGATAAATGAGTAATACGTTTTACTTTAAAGAAGTTGTCAAATTTATTGTACAGGTTTATATCTAGCATATTAGTTTTAGTGACATTAATACGAGAAGGTAATATAAGATTTCCAGCATATCTGGTATTGTAGCTATGTTCGAATGTACATTCGAATGGGTTTGCAGTTGAGTTGCACTCTTATGGACTAACGATAATGCTTCATACACATATAAACAAGGTAAGGGCAAAATATTTAATGAATAGTTCTCGACAATGGACCCTATCAGTGTCATTACCGATAAGGCGAATAGCTGCCTTCTGAATGACGAATGCTCTATGAGCGCTAGTAGCATTGCTCCAAAGAGCTACACCATACGCTAGATAGCAGTGAAACAAAGAGAAGTACAACATCTTCAATATGGAATTATCAACGTATGGTCGGAGCCGCATCAGAAAGAAAACCTGTTGTGCCAGTTTAGAGCAGAGGCGATCTATGTGAGTAGCCCAAGTTAATCGTATATCCAAATACGACACAATCGAAGGCCTTAGACAGATCACATAAAGTGGCATGGGTATTCATCCCATGATCCAGACCTTCCACTATATCCTCCAAGATCTCCAGTAGCCCTCCGATTGTGGAACGGTATTAGAGAAATTTAACATTAATATTGCTCATAAACCTTAAGGTATATTTTAATATATAGAAAAAAGTGTAATCACAACAATCTTAGTATTTTGTATGCAGCATATCATGGCTTTCTTAGAATTTCACATTTTTGCCATATGAAAAGTAAGGTTTTTTTAAATGGAACGCCCTGTATATTTTTAGATTTTTTGATTCTACGAATTTTTTAAGTTTAACCATACAGATATATAATTCCTTCAGCGGTTTGACCAATATAATTAGATAAAGTATATTCTGATACTGATTAATAAATTGCAAAAATAATATAAGATTACATTCCGTTCAGAATATTTATAACGGTTATTTTTTCCCAAAATATGATGCAACAATTGTAAACTTTGTTTTAAAATTTGTTTCCTTTTTTACACATTAAGATTACTACTTTACGTTGAAGTTGAGGAAAAATACATTTTATAGAAAAAGTGGAAACAAGTAAATTAAAAAAGTAATGTGAAACTCTTGGGGACGTGATCAATCATATCACATTATTTATATACGACATGTAAGGGATTATTCTTCAACTTCAAGCGGATATCCGAGACACGATATTAAAGTGCTGCTGCAACAAAACGAAAAAAAGTTCTTACCTTTGCTAGCTCCGTCGGGTCCTCTTAAAATAGTACACTCCTCTATTGTTCCAAAGGGCGCAAATAATTGTCTGACATCTTCTTCAGTTTGTTGCTTACTGAGCATACCCACGAACAGCTTTCGATCTGTAGCCACAAAAACAAAGTCATATTAGTTGATGGCAAGGAAGGGCCGTCGAAACATACACACATATCTAACGTAGGTGCAATTCCACTTAATAAATCCGCTAATAATTACACTCAAGGTACGAGCTTTGGAGCTAGCGATATTGACGTTACTGGAACTATTTATCAGGACATGTTCGGGGATTTACAAGGATACAGGAGATTAAGGAGAAAAGTGATCTACTGTAATTGGATCAGAAGTCACTCTCTAAATCAGGACGACGGCTAACTGTCATAGATATTGCTAAAATTCTCATGAAACTTAGTATGCCCACTTCCGTACTACCGTGTTGCGTAAATTTTGCTAGAACTGTGCTATGAAGGTAACTTGTATGTGTTCGACAGGAAGCAATGTAGCCACAAAGTAATAAAATACGATTTTGTGTCAGGTCATTGTAAACAAGACACGAGGTCATGTTTATTGTAACAGCCACATATGAATATGTTGGCTGCTGTCTTCCATCTACACCCCTACATTATTTTTATTTCGTTTGCAAATTATACAAATTTTGAATTTATTTGAATTAGTTTAATATCTTTGTAATAAAGTCATAATCATTTTCGTTGCGAATACATTATAGCAAATTTTATTGGTTTTGCAGTATACATCGACAGTTATATCAACTTGACTATATATTAAGATCAAGGTCATAAAATGGAAAGAGGTCATAAAATATAATTTTGTGACATAATTATACATAAGGCGATCATTTTTATTGTGACAGTTACATTGATCATAAGTCATAGTCATGAAATAAAGAAAACTGACTTCACAATTTTGCACTATAACATTATAATTATAAAATGTGGTTTTGTGTCGAGATAGTTGTAAAAATTAAGCAGTTGATCAACAGTAATTTTATTGGGTTTCAAGTATATATAGGTTGTGATGTGACTGTATAATAATATCACGTTATAGCCATAAAATAGAAAAAAAGTATCACTTGGTTTTGTGAATACACGAAATGTGTTTTCGTGTCAGATGAACATAAAATGACCATCTTTATTATGACAACAACATACATGTTCTACACTGATAATACTAAAATATTTTTATTTGGTTTGCAGGATATACAAGTAATGATGTGACTTTGATCGTGTCATAGTTATAAAATGTGGCTTTGTATCAGACAGATGTTAAAATGATGTACGGTCATTTTTATCTAACTTGTGACCGATAAGAACAGACTACTATACTTTTATTTGGTTTGGAAGATGTAAAAGTACCTAGTTTGGCTGAAATTATGTATGGAAATTCTGTGTTAGATAGTTATGACCACGACAACGGTTAGTTTCTTTCTGACAGCCAGAAATATGTTGACACCTGCTTCTGATCGGTACAATACTGTAGTATTTTTATTTGCAAAATATGCAAACAGTAATGTGAGCCTTGGTCATACTATAACTTCACGTCATGGCCATAAAATAAAGAACAATAACTTTTAATAATATTGCACTGCACGTCAAAAATATAAAATATAGTTTAGTTTCAGATACTTACAAAAAGACAGATATATTGATTGCTAATTTTGATCGATAGGAACCTATTACTTTATTTTTATTGCGCTTGCTGTATATACAAATAACGATGTAAGTTTGACCAATGATAAGATCATATCATAGTCCTAAAGAAAAATTACTGTCTGTCATTTTTATCGTAACAGCAACAGACTGCTGCTTTTAATCGATAAAAACTATTACTATATTTTTATTTGACTTACACGGTATACATGTAAAAACATAATATTGGTCGTATGATAGGATCAAATCATAGTTACAATGTTGTGACATCAAAGTTATAAACTCTAAATTGATCAAACTCGTTGTTGACTGCTATTTTCAATTGGGGTTCTAGCAAGAAAAATATATGTGAAAAAAAAAACAAATTTAGAGGACAGCGTTAAAACTGATTTTCTTAAAACGGGTTACGTATTTAAAAAAAGGTCAAAAGTGTGTAATGAAACCTTCTGGCTTAATTGTGTCAAAAAACTATACATTTTGAGAAAGAATATATTTTAGTTTGACAATAAATCAAAAAGCCAATTTTGTGACAAATGTTATTTTTGCTAGAAATCTTTCAATTGAAAGGACTATTCTATACAAGAATAAATGAGTGCTGTGTAATTTTTGTGAGGTCAAACTTATACAATTTGAGTTTATGACAGATGATTACAAACATGGTAGCTTTATTGTAACAGCCACAGATATGTTAATTGTTTCTTCCGATCGATAGTAGGTAGGTACTAAAGTAATTTTATTTCAATTGTAGGAAATATAAGCAACGATGTAAGAATGGTCATATCTTTGGCATGAAAAATGGCTGCCGTGTCATTTTACATGTGATTAGTGAACAATAAAATGATTTTGTGTTAGCTAAGCATATAAATAGCATAATCATTTTTATTCTGACAGTTACAGATATCTTGATTCTGCTATTATATTTCCATTTAATCTATTGGGTTATGTGATAAAATCATATATTCATAAAGAAAACAGTCACCTAACTTTGCATTGTGGGGTCAAAATTATAAAATTGTAATTTTGTGATACTACATAGGTATGAAAATCAAATGACAGTCAGAGATGTATGACTGTTGTTGTCGAGAAGACAAAATAACCTGAAAAACGTAAAAATTATGAAAACCAATTTTAATCAGAAGTCAAAAGGATTTTTAAATTATTTTGTGTATTTTTAATATTACCTAATATGTACATATTAATATATAATAATTAATTGCTTTATTTACATGTGCGTTGTTTTCTCTCTTTATCTTAAATTTGTTTCTTTAGTTTCTTGTTTATCACTAAATTGAGAGTTTTATTTTATTTACAATATCTTAAGTTATTTTTACTGAATTATTATAATTATTATAATTAAGTCAACTGTGAAATAATTGTTAAAGACCGACAGTCGTAAGTCATGTACTTTTATTATTTTCATTTTATTATTCATTTATGTAGGAAATGTACTGCAAAAGTAGTAAAAAAATGATGAATATAAAATACTATTAAATAGTTAGAAATTAAATATATGAATGCAAAACACTGTACAAACGGACAATTTTGAGCCAGCATGGAAAAACGTAATTGAGACACCCCGGTGGTGTATATACTATTAAAGAAATCTGGCACAGGGCACAGTTGGGCATATGACTGTAATTAATGAATGTTTGCCTTTTATTAAAACACATGGACGTTTCAGTCTAGCAAACTTACTTAAATATACAACTATACCACAATACTGCACGGTTTATAAAAATTATACTCTTTTTATTATTTTAATCCAAAAACAAATTAAAATTTATTTTGTTAATTCAAGGAATTAATATTTTTGATGAGACTAATTGATTTTAATTTAAATATACTTCACCGACTTTTTTTAATTTTTAATTAGTCTTAGTTTAACATTCTTGATCAAAATCAAATTATAAAAAACCCTTGATGTGAAGGACTAAGTATATTCCCACATCATTTAATGCGAAATAGGTTTGAATCATAAAATCAATAATTACACCATATTATTAACATTTATTTTTCGAGCTTGGGGTGTGTAAGAAACGTTGATGATCACGTTTACGCCGTATAAAGTAACATATAAAAACTAATAACCTATATAACGTAACACGGCAGTAAAGAAGCGTATCCGGGTCTAAATTTCGCCCAAAAAATGTTCCATAAAAACTTTAGCAATTCGTCGCATCTCACTGATTTTCACCATAACTGTAAAATTCATGATACTCAATCCTGATGTGAGCCCTGACCCGCAGATTAGGGCCAAAAGGGGCCAGCAGCTAAGATAATAGACTAGCAATTTCGCCTATGTTCAAAAGTTACCATCTGATCGGTCCGTTAGTGACTGTATCGACCTTTAGAGGACCTCCCGCTGATTTATTGCCTTGATCATATCGGGTTATCAAAAAATAAAGGATACAGTTTCAATCCCTTCTATCTTTAGACTTCAGAAATTACTTTATGCCCCATATAGGCACAAACACGCGTCTACATAAATTTCATATAGCCGTAATAAAAATTGACGTCATATTTTCACTATCACCTATCCAAAAATAGCTTAGTAACCTGAGATTTTATGAAAATTGTTTATCTACTTGCTGGAAAAGCTGCGCAAAACACTTTCATAATAGGCCACCAAAATAGTTTACTCTATAAACTAATAAAAACTAACTACTGGTGCATCGTTTGCTATTTACAATATAGGGTTCAGGTATAATCTGGTATACCAGAAGAGATATCAACATTTTCAAATATAAAATACAAGTTTCTTAAACTGAAAACGCTTTCCTTTAAAAACACAAAGGAACATGTAATTTTCTGAGTTAGAACTGTTCTTTTTAGTTAGTTGTTGGTCTGATGTTCGTGCATCAAGTGAAATGATCTCCGAATTTGAGTGTTAGAGGATTTTGAAGTTTCTTCATTTCTATATTTCCAAGGGGAAAACTTATTAACGATTCAAATTGTATACTCTTCCTTGATAACCCTTTATTACACAAAGTTTACTTGCACACAACAGCGTCCTTCTTCTAACTTTGTAACACGCGAATTTGGCTTTAATTTCGTTACACTAAAAGTTCGCGGCAGTTTGACAACGTTCTTAAAGATTATTAATCGGCGTATTACAAATGCTATATTTAAAAGAAGAATTCCTCAAGCAAACGTACAGGCGGTTCATAAGATTTTAAACACTGAATGTTTCAATCATGCGCATCTCTGGTGGAGAGTTATTTGCAAAAATTTTATGTAAACGTTTGTACTACTGAAATTGAATAAATAAAGTCACTATGAACATTTTTCCAAATATAACTATTTTTGTAGTTATTAAACTTGAAATTTAAATTTGCATTGAAAGATATACAGGGCGTCCATGGATGGGTGAGGCGATGCTTGAAAGAGATAAAATATACCTTGTGGAAAATTCAGCTGTTATGCTTGGTAAAACAAAATGT